GGGCCCAAAACTGAACACAGTATTTGAGGCGCGGCCTCACCAGTGCTGAGTACAGGGGCACGATCACTTCCCTACTCCTGCTGGCCACACTATTTCTGATACAGGCCAGGATGCCATTGGCCTTCTTGGCCCCCTGGGCACACTGCCGGCTCATGTTCAGCCAGCTGTCAACAACTTCATAAAATAACAATGCAGCGAAGTCAGGCTCTGCCAAGATTTCATCATACAGTTATTTTTTGTGAGTAACTATGACTGTAGAACAAAAATCGAATGTATTTTATCCTCATGGAGGAAAACATTTGTTTGCAGAACTTCAGTGGCTTTTCTGTCTTTGCAGAATGCTCTGGATTACCTGGAGTGTGGGCTGAGTAAGTCCTACAGTACTTCTAGCCACGCTCTGGGCATAGACCTTTGGAGAGGAAGAAGATGTTGTTCTGGTAATTTGCAGTTACCGCCACTATCCCAAAGACAAACAGAAAAAGCAAGGACACCTGACAGAGACATCGTCTGTAGACCAACAACTCTGCCTTTGTTGACACCTCCAAGTATTGCAATCACCACTTACCAAGACTGGTAGGTTATTTCCCTTTGTTATGAATCTCACGTGGTTGGGGGTGTTTTTTATGGGTTTTTGTTGTTTTCTAGTTTTGAGTGGGTTTTTTTCTTTTTTTTTTTTTTTTGGAAGACACTAGATAATTATCTTGTATCTATACTAATCAGTATTGTTGATGTTTATCAGTTGGTGTGTCATGGATGTAATTTTACAAAGTAATTGCCTTTTTTTGAAATTCTACTTCTGTTAAAACCTCTTCTGTTCACTTTTTTTGTTCATCTTCATGAAACTTTTGTGTCGTAAATTCCGATCTTGGCCAGAGGATTTGTGGTACTAGCTTCCCACCCACAGAAGAATTCAGGATGGTGGTAGACTCTTCTACAACAGATTGAGGAAAAAGGCTTTAGCTCTCTGGCTACTTCCTGTCCAAGTGTTAGAAGACAGTCTTGGAAAAGCATTTGAATCTGATATTAAGCTCAAGAAAAGTCCCAAAGAAACTATCGGAGAGCTGATTAAAAGGGGGTTGCTAAGAGGCGAGTTCCAAAACAGAAACTGAATGTTAAGTGCCAAAACAAGGAAATTGATCTAGAGGGAGGAGAGGAAGACAAAGCCCCGAGTATTAATGCGTTGGAATTGTAATGGTAGATTTTAATGGCAAAATAAGGTTAGATGTCCAACTTGCCATATGAATCTTGAAATGGCATTGCAATGCAACCTTAAAACCTGTACTCTCAATTTCAGATTTCAAGTGTGCTTTAGATTCTAGTTTTTAAATGCTCTACTCTCAATTTCATTTGCTGGCTGCAAGAGATGTTCACATCATTATTTCCAAGTCTGAATCTGGTTTTAGCTTCTGTTAAGCTCAGCACTCTTCAGGGTTGGCATTTCCATTTGCATTTGAACAATTATAGAGGACATCCTAAATTAATTTGTTAGAGTCCTTTAAAAACAGTTTTCCTATTGAAAATAGGATTTTTAAACTATGCACTTGAATAGATGAGATACAGAAATCGAAGAGGGGCTTTTGTTCAATTTTTGCATTTAATTGCTGTGGATAAATTTAACAAAATGAGTTATCTAATTTCAGATGGATTGTGAATTTTGACAATAAAAGGGTTGGTTTACCTTTATGAGCATTTTACGAGTGTTCCCTTTTGTGTATCTGCAGCACTTTGTAATCTTGACTGCAAGACAATTGAGAGCCTATTCATAAGGTGTGCTTTTAAGAATGAATTAGTTCTGATCTTTGAATACACCTTCATACACGATTTAGGAAAGCGCAAGGAATTGCAGCGGATTTATCATTAGTTTTCTTTGTAACACAAGGGGGCATTGCTGCTCCTCTCTTCTATTACAGCAGAATCAATGTATGCATATTGTGTTGCGCAACATGTATTTTTCTTGAACGGTATGCCAGTCAAAGAGAGAACACTTATAACTGATACTCAGGTGACTGCTATTTCTTTACTGCTGTTAATCTCTTATAAGTGAGCAGATAGCTTCTGACTTCTCTGTTTTGCTTGAATCTATCATACCTGTTTACAGCCATATAGCAAGTTGGGAGTTGCTGGTTAGTGTGACTGCAATGCAGCGTGCTGTTCCAGCACGTTGTTACACATGCATCTTTGCATCCCCCTCACCTTTCTGACTTGGGCACCAGTTAGACTGACTGCTCTAACAGCTGGGCAGAAATTTGGTCTAATCTTTCCCATTTTCTGTTTAAGTTCTAGTCATCAAGGGCTTTTGAATAGGTTAGCACTTTTCTCTACCCCATGCCAGGCAGTTCCTTACCTATGCAATTTCCAGTTACTCAGAGCCTGACCATACTCTCAGGGAGCACAGTCATGATTGAGACTTTTTTTGTGTAGGAGCGGGGCAAGTGTGAGCTGGTCCCTAAGCTGTTTGGGCTTTTATATTGTGGTTCAGTTCTGCATGAAATATACCCTAGAGGCAGATTATATTTGTGTAAGCCTGGTATGTGCCATTGTGTTGAAACAGCTTTGGAATGATATGAGCATTAAGAGACTCAGTGAGTAGGCAATAAAGTGATAGGAAAATTTCAGTGTAGATAAATACAAAGTGATATATCTGAGCATGAAAGAATCGTAGCTGCAAAACAATATTACTAGTCAGGAGCAAGAGCCTGGGTATAGGATAGAAGTCCAATAGAGTTGCAAGTTCAGTGCTTATTAATGGTCAAAAAAGGAAATTAATTGTTAAAGATTTGAAGGAAAAGAATAGGGGATAAAACATAGCACGTCAGGACGCGATGGTAGGAGCCCATGAATTGGTCAAATGTGGAATATAGTGTACAGTTCTGGTCCTTCCTCTCAAAAAGGGTATAGCAGAACTAAAAAGGGTTAAAGGCCTCTAAGATGATCAAACATACGGAACAGCTTCTGCACTGGGATTGACCAAGGAGGCTGGGACTCTTCAGCATGGAAAAGGCAGTTGAGGAAAGGGATAGGACCGAGATCTTGCTAGTGGTATGAAGATGTAGTTGATCAAACTACATCTTATCATCCCTTCTAATAGGAGAACAAGGGGCCATCAAATAAATTGGTATGGCAGACGTGAAGCGAGTGCAAGGAGGTAGTTCCTTACGCAGTTTCTAGTTACGCTGTGGAACTTTGTGCCATAGGATACTGTAGATGCTAGAAGTTTGAGCAGGCTCAAGGGAAAGCTTAACAGATCCTTGGAGGAGTAATCTGTTGTGATTTCCTTCTGAATACATAAACCCCATGTCTTGTTCAGCTTCTGAACTGCAAGTTGTTTAGGACTGGGAAATATTTGAGGGGAAGTATCATACATGTTCGCCTTCTGTTCCTTTCTGTTCTGTGCTTTTAATCTCTTGTGACAGTCAAGGTGATGGGCTAAATGTACCATTGGCCTGACCAGTAAGACCATTCTTACATTACAAGTCTGGGCTTTTTTTGACCTCACTTTATTCCTTGGAGCTTTAACAAAAATGCTTGAGGCCACAGGCAGAAAATTAACATGTTTTAAGCAATCGGGGGAAAAAAGGCTTTACACATGTAAAACGTGGCCTAATGCCATTAAACAGTGTAATCCTCATACTGAAACAGGAAAGAGGATACTCCTTGTGTAAAAAGTATCCAACTCTTAGTTTCATAGGATTATAGGATAATTCAGGCTGGAAGGGACGTCAGGAGGTTTCTAGTCCAACCCCTTGCTCGCAGTGAGGTCAGCCCAGGTTGCTCAGGGGGCTTTATCTAGTCTGATCTTGAAAACCTCCAAGGGTGGAGACTTGACATACTCTTTGGGCAACCTGTTCTGCTGCGTGACTGTCCTCAACTCAGAAAAAAGTCTCCATATGTCTGGTCAGAATTTCTCTTGATTTGTTTTCTGCCAGTTGTCTTGTGTTTCCTAGTGTTTCGGTGGAAGGTAATGGCAGTGTTCTGTTCCTTGGAAGTGTGGCGTGCATCTTCATTAGTCCATAAATCTACCCCGTTAATGCAGCACTGAATATTCAGGTTGCACTGCTTTAGGCCCCTAACATGATGTCTCTGGGCTATGGAAATTGTTCACTAAATTTATTCCCTGGGTTTAGATTCAGGATGCAGAGGTTTCCTGACCTGTTTATGTTCCCAAAGGTAGACAGTCTTGCTACAGCTTGTACAAGATCAAGTTCATTGATACTGTTACAGCAGTGGAATTAGTGAATCATGCAAAAGGAAACTCTTTGCTGAAATTTAAATGTAACTGGCCTTGGTCTAAGACATTTGGGGTCCACACAACTAAAATGCATAAACAACGTAAGGTTGAGGTATAGGTTTTCTGTAAGGTAAATCATCATAACTCTTACGCATGCAATACAAATTGCTTAACATTCACTTAGTATGTTGGGTTTTTTTTCCTGAGGCTTCATAGAGTTGTAGCTTGGAGACACTTTCTACAAGAGATCAATAGGACTCATTCAGAAGTGTGCAGGTTTACCCGAGCTTTCTGTGATCTATTTCTGTGCATATGACACCCCAAAGACAGATGTGAAACACCTCATTATTATGACACGAAACATGATTCCTAGAAATAATGTCTTTATTTCATTTGTGTAGTGTGCATAGTAGCTATCATCTTTTTTTTGTAATGACTGTAAGACTGTTAAAGAGATTCCTAGCGGTATCATGATGCCAGTTAACTTTTCATGCTGATATACAAGTTCCTCATTACACTGTTATATTTAGTGTATCTTCAGAAACACATACAAAACTTCTATAAGGGACATTGTCTTTTTTACTAGGGCAGGTATGATGGAAGTGAAGCTTTTCATGGGCATGTCATACTGAACAAAGAAGTCACTTCAGTTTGGGGTTTTGTTTCCTATTTGTGCAAGCCATTGTAGTCTTTGTAGAAATTTGTTGTCTTAACCAGAAAAACAGTAACGAAGTTTTTGGAGAGGCAGGGATAAATCAAAACCCGATCACCAGAGGATTGCTCTGAACTGTAAGGTGCAAAAGCTCTGTCTCTGTTGGGGTTATTTCTCTTTTCTCCTGTTAACTTGATTAAATCCCTGGGGAAACTCTCACTGCAGGTATTTGGGGTGTGCATTCTTCTGAGACATTCTTCCAGTTCTTCCATTACCTGTTAGCACAAATGGCAAATATCTCTGTTATCAAATGAGATTTCTAAACTGAAATCCTGGAAGAGAGTTTACGTATAATAATATATCTGTGGTTCTTCCTGGAGCAATTCAGGAAATGCCACATCTGTGAAATACAATGCTTCCCACTACTACACGTGCATCTTGCACAGCTCTGTATGTTACCAAGCTCTTTGCAAAACCTTACCTATCAATGGAGAATATAGTCAGATTATATTACAGCAGCTTCAGTACTTTGTTTTCTTTTAAAAATATTGTTCATTATTGGTTAGGTGAAATTTAGTTCTGTCATCACTGAAATGGTACGAAATTCAACCTGCAACATCAGCGCTGTGCTACAGATAATGTGCTAAGAATGCACTAACTGTGGAAATTTAGCTGTTTCTGGGATTGCAGTAA